GTTCTCTCGGCACTCCTGATTCGGTTACAAGTGGTTGAATTTCCGAAAATATTGGCCTTAGCTTTGGAGGGGTTAAGTTGTGATTATTACATTAGAGAATCAACTGTTGGTGTGTCATTGCGAGGTGCAGCCATTTGAGTCGCCCATAAATCGAATTCACGGTCTCTTCTACTGATTCTAACCATACTTGCGGGGTTTAGCGCTGAGTTTTAATTGCTCTGTTCATGCACCTACCGCGCGACTTAACCGAGTAAATGCGTGTTACTGAGTTGCGAAACTGCAATTGTACCGTAGGAAATGATGCTATAGTAAGCCAGACTGATATTCTTCCAGTGAATGGTGGGGGTACGAGTGGTGGCCGCCGAGTAAAAATGAAAGATGCATTCGATGAAGCATATATTCGTATTCCAGGAAAGTTTTGTTCTAAACCTAGTTCTAGCCTCAAATCCACCGTGTTAAGAGTCTTGGATCACGATTAAAAAACTGTGATCACGGTACAATTTGCGGAAATGAGAGAAAAATCAGTGCAGGTCAATCACTCGAGTGACAAACTTATTAATTTGCGCTGTGTATAAATTAACCGTTTTACGCATTTTTCAGCTTTCGGAGTTAACATAAACGCAGGAACAAGTTATTTAACTTCAGATACAGCACAAGAGTTCACATTTTCATTGAAAATGTGAATTGCTCTCTGTAGAGCAGCTTGCGATTTCCTGTAATATTGAAACTAATTTCAAATAAGGAAGTAGAGAACCATTATTGAAGTTCAATGTGTGGATCTATCAGTGAATTTGCTCAAACAACCGTGCAGTTGTACCGCTGTGAAAACCAAACTGAGGAATGCGTATTTTATCCCTATAAGTCTATAACTGCAGTCTGCAAAGGCTTAATTCTTTGCTGTTAATATTAGAAAACTGTTGGAATAGAGGGCATTCAGAACGTTCAGTCCAAACAAATGTAAAAGGCCATAGTCACCACTTGCACCTGAGATCTAGCTAACTTAATGATGGGTCCTTCACCACTGCATTTCTGAACAGCGTTTTTCTGCTGCTTTGTATTATTCGTCAGAAGAAAGAGGGTCGAAGCTGCACAAGCAACTGTGCTTGGCCTTAATATCCTCTGGAAATTTTGTCGTTTAACTGTTAATAAAATAACGTCATTATCAATCATAGTGCAAAAGTGATCGACGATTGGTTGCAGCAAGACAGTAGCAGTCAGATGTCCTACTGAAAACAGCCAGTCAAAGAGGACGTAGAATCCGTCTTTGAAACCGGAAGCGCTCGCCACTGCATAGAGGATAGATCAGGTGCAAACAGCGAGACGATTGGATGCATTTTTTGGCGACAACTTGCCCCAAAATAGCTGTGCAGCCTGCTGGATAACGCGGATTGGTCCTCGAGGATGAACAAAAACTGCAGTCTTAGGTAAGGACCAGTTGGCATTTTGACAAAGATAAGGGTTGATAACGGATATCGGAAACGAAGTCTAGAAAAGTAATGGTCTTACTGGCAGTGTTAGCCTAAGTCTATATAAGCGTCCCCAATAAAAGCTTGAAATCTTGATTTTGTCTCCTGTTATGTCGCAACACGTGCTCTGGCTGCAAGAGAGTGAATTACCAATTATATTTGCATTGAATCCTTTAAGCATTGTCACACTGGATAACCACCTATTTGGACGTCAGTGCGAGGCGCAGCTACAAGGTGAACTTGCATCGGTATAATTCGCAAGTAGGAAAAAGGCATCTTCAGATTCGAACCCTGTGGCTTAGGTGCTTGAAAGTGAATTTTTGCCACTGCTATCGCACCATTTGATTCGAAAAACGTTACCGACTTGCGAAGCTGCAAACTGGACTTAGGAAATTATCTGTTGAGAAGCCAGATCGAGATCGTTGCGTTAAATGCGTGAGGAGATGGCATCTGCGTAATAGTGGAAGATGCATTCGATGAAAAGACATTTTTTGTACCATGATTCTGTTTGTCTTCGAGTCGATTCTGGTCTGCATGCTACCCTGTGATCACACGTGAACCATAAAAAATTGCGATTATGGGTACAACCTGCGCAAATGGCTTTCTGAGATGAATCGAGCGTTTTAGCTGGGACCAAAATTCAAATATCTTCGAGAGAGCCTGTATGTGCAGCCGCTGCTTCTTCAGAATGAAGGCGCAGCTGTAATGGTTGATTCATCTTGCAAATTCTTTAAGAAAGGAAAACGAAACAGTTATTGCATGTTCAACCGACCTGTCGAAGACCCTGCAGATGGCCAAGAATGCATTAATTAGTAAAACACGGAATAAATATTTTCCTCAAAACTAGCAGTTCTACTGTTTGGTTCTCCAATAAGATCGGTGTTTATTTTTATACATAAAAATTTCCTTTGTTTCTCTCTGAGCAGGGCATGATCATGATCTATTGAGCAGTGCTCCTGGCATGCTTTAAATGTTTATGACCAGTCACTAAATGCTGGTTATTATATATGTAATTTTAAAATCTATTTCTTGCTCAGTGTGACAAATTTTCGCTGAAGTATGGATTGTATTCGGACGAGTATACCGATGTTTTCGATGCTCAGGTTGCATGTTAGAGAATGGCTTGTTTTCATTTCGTGTTATTATTTGTCAACAGTCGTCGATCTGAGCTGTCAGTTTCTTTTAAAAGGGCCGATTGCCTCATGGAAGCCTATGATTTCTTTGACAATTAACGCTGAATGTCAAACCATGCCCGGTCACGTCCGTACATCAGCTTTTGACTATGGGGTCGAATTTCTCGAAGCGCATTTTCAGTTTGCAAAAATTATAGCAACCGTCAAGTAAAAATATGATTATGTGTTTCAGACATTTTCAACAAGAATTTTCTCTCTCTTGCTCGCACGATATTGTTGCTGTTAGAAACGCAAGGTTAGATCTACTTATTATTGACCAGCTATTTATTATTTCTGAACATCAACTGTTACAAATGTAGTACTCATGTCAGAATAATCTTCCTAGGTATTTATGATTCATATCCGCAGAAAGTTTAAGCAATAACAGTTCAAGGATGGCACCTAAGACAACTGTAGGGATGCTTATTGTTGGCCAAAACAGCAGCACAAAAAATGAGCTATTCTAATAGCAAATGCGTTCATTTCCTCAATGAGCATTACTTTAAAGCGACCGAAACTGTATTATAGCTGCGTGAAGTTCTACGCTCAAAACGACTAAAACGGACGAAAAGGTAGGAATCAGCAGCAGGTGCGCAGTAATCAATCTATTGGGTATGAAATGCATGCGTTGCGTGGGCAGAAATTATAAAAATTACTCGCAAAGTATTTGACAAGCCAATATTTGTCGCTCACTTATTATTCCTAAAACAACTTTCATAAAGTAATTACATCTTTCTACTTCTAGTTGGAGATACAGGCAACCTCAGTTTGATGTGTTGTAGGGAGAAAAAGTAGTTTTGAAAAATTGGACAGCGATGCTTCCATCAGGGAAAGTGAATAAATTACTCAATGCGTTACAACGTAACACGTTGAAATAATCCCTAAGGAACTAATAAAATAGTCATGATCTGCCAAATGACATCTGTCGAGTAAACGATGTCTGGAATTGACACAG